GCGTTGTCTGTTAGGTTCCCCTGAATGATTAAACCTTAGCCAAACGACATTGACGAACTGAGATATGCTTGAATCAGCTATGTTTGCCTTTCTTATTGGTTCTCTTGTCAAAAATAGTATTGTATCGTACAGGAGCATTAGTCTTAAAGTTGCATCTATTCTCCTTCATTTAACTTTCCTTTCACTTACCGCACATTCACCAGACCCAAGATATCATTGTCTACGACCCTGAGAAGATACATTGAGATACCGAAAGATAGGACTCGTGAGATCATCTAGAAACTTTTTGAGATATTATTTATCCCTACTTTAACCATCAATGAAGATTGAGGATGTTATCACCTGTCCTGCTATGTTATAGCCTAGAGCCCTACCAAAATTAGACATACCGAATCCTGGAAACGACATTCATTGATATCTCTTAGGTGATTTGAATAAACAGTAAAAGGGAACGAATGCGGGTCAGCAATTTTTTATTATGTTGGTTTTTGAAAATGGATGGTAACGGTCTGGTTGCGAACATTGAGAAGTTGAACTGTCAATGCTTCAGTTTCAATCGAAACTCGAAAATTTTTCATTGTTTTATTGCTTTTTTCACAAGAAATATCAAATATTTTACTTGTAACGTAATTTAAATTTTAAAAAGAATTATCCATGTCCCCATCAGCTCTCGCAACAAATGTGTTATGTGGCGCGGACTAAGTACACGTGGAACCAATTCGCTGCGTACCAAGACGCACATAACAGCGTATGATCGGCAGTCAAGCAACCAATTGGACGAGTGGGTTACGTGCCCCCTTTGATCACTTGCTTCCAGCTTTTTCTACATTTATTTTACTTTACGGCTATGTCTTGGATTTGGGACTGGTTTTCTGGTGTGCTCAACTTCTTAGGTATGTTTCATATCTTTCAATGATTCAGAAACTAATCGTGTAAAAGACTACATGTTGGTAAGCGTATGAACCGTGCAACCCTCATAGTATCCACTGATTTACACTGAGCAATGCTTGGATTTTAACCTTTTTGACTTTTCATAGCATCTAATCATTCTTTTTCTTTCTAAAACTTCGACATCGATGCAATCGGTATGATCGGTTTTTTTTGCAAATTATTAAAAACAAGGACAGAGATTTTGTAAATCAAACTGTTATCTGTTTGTTTTGTTATGTTATTTAATGATTTGTGTTTGTAGGTTTAACTAAGAAAAATGGAAAGCTCGTGTTCCTGGGATTGGATAATGCAGGAAAGACTACTCTTCTTCATATGTTAAAGGATGATAGAATGGCTCAGCATGTTCCAACACTTCATCCTAGTGAGTTATTCTCTATGAGACTTCTTTTCACCAAATATACATTTATTCGTGAAAAATACTTGATTTTTGTGGAAAGTACAGAAAAGATCAGCTGATCAGGTGTCAGGCCACATCACTATCACATGATTAGTGTTGTTGTGTGGTATGAACATAGAGGTTTTGCGTGTTGAAAAGTTTCAGTGTCATTTATATTTACCGATAATCAGAGACAATGTGTTTTGATTGTTTATTTTTTCAGCATCAGAGGAACTATCTCTTGGTGGGATTAGATTCACAACTTTCGATCTTGGAGGTCACGCTCAAGGTAAGCTCAAGCTTTTGATCCTCAATTTAGCTCATTGTTCAGCTCGACGTGTATGGAAGGATTACTTCCCTGCTGTGGATGCTATTGTATTTTTAGTAGATTGCGCTGATTTGGAGCGAATTGCTGAAAGCAAAACTGAGCTCGAGTCTTTACTTCGTGACGAGCAGGTAAACTCCCCAATATTGATAGTAAATACTCTGGAAATTCAGGTTGCCGCTGCTCCAGTTCTTGTTCTCGGAAACAAAATTGACAAGCCAAATGCTCTCAGTGAGGATCAGTTGAAATGGCATTTGGGAATTCAACATATGTGCACAGGAAAAGGTTTTTTGAAACATCATGAAACAGTGTTAATTTTGTGATCGTTTATAGGAGAAATTTCTCGCAATGATCTTGCTTCCCGTCCTTTGGAAGTTTTCATGTGCTCTGTACTCAGAAGACAGGGTTATGGTGAAGGGTTCCGTTGGTTGGCTCAATACCTCGACTAAAAATAGTACAAACTAAACAAATTTCATATAATGTGCTTTGATTCGTTGACATTCTTTCTGGTATAAAGCCTTGATTGGGATGTTAACCGATTAGTATCTGTTCATATCATCCCGATTTTTGCCACTAATTAATTCTTATTATTCCTTTCAGCTCAGAAAATAAGTTTCTGGTCGAATTTCTAATTTATTAGTGCAAATGTCATGTAGACTACAATCTTGCGCCTTTTATTTCATAGTGTTCTTCTGTCCCCTCCACCCCCCTGTGATCATGTTGTATAATATGTGCTCCTTTTCGAAGTTATGTGAGACGGCAATGAAATCATCTAAATTATGTTCTATAGGAGCCAAGCAAACGTTTTCGTGTCCTTTCTTTTGTTATAGCTTCTTTAACCTCTCTCTGCTCAAGCTCCATCGATGTGAGATATGATTGAGAATCTTCTGATTAACTTCTGTAACTTACCTCACCACTGAACTATCCCCCCATGCCGTCTCTCATCCTTCTTTCAGGTGCTCTCATCACGGTCTAAACTTTGTTGTAGTTTGGTTTAGTTGTATTTTCTCTTTCCAAAAGTAGCCTTCTCAATCTGAACTGTAAGGCACATGCTTAAGGAATTGGGTTTCCTAACATCCTCGTTTTGACCATTTTTACTTTGGTTCTATGAGAGTTTTCTTCTAACACAATAAATTATTTCTGTTCTCGAATTTGCGTCTATCGATAAAGCAAATAGACAAATAAGGCATTAAGTTGAAAGGCTGGTTCTGTTAAGGAACAAATGACCCACATTCCGATCAGAAGTAAGTTTAAGTGATGGAAGAAGCCGGTCGAAGGTTTCCCTCTAGGCACACCAAACGTGAGAGTCAAAATGAGCTCGTGAGTTGTTTTCTTAACTATGAATTTCAATATTAATGATTAGACTCTACTTACTATGGATTCAACTCCCATGTTTTTCGTTGCTCTCATTCCTCCTCTGTGTGGAGCCATTATTGCCGTTGCCACTGCTTTAACTGTACATCAGAAATACATCACCAACTACAATTGGATGTGTGGGGTAAGCAAATACACAATGAATTTTCCACCATTATCTATTCAGAGAGCCGTTCTACCCAGCTTCTCCAGAATTATTAACTTGGAATTCGAAGGAATCGTCTTCCAACTGTTTATATACTTCCATGTTCCCCTACGATTACTCGAGCTGACTGTTGGATGTAAGCATTTATTCAAATTTTGAGAAATTTCAAAATAATCTGTAAATCTCGTGAATAATTCAGCGTTTGTTTTTATTTTATTAGTTACTTTACAGTTAATCGTTACCGCCAATTGATGTCGGTTACGTGTACCTGGCCACGCATATACAATCTTTCAAGATGGGCTTATACAATATTCGGTACTTTAGAAGTAGTACTCATGCTGGGATTATCTGCGGTCGGAGAGAAAGAACACGGAAGTCAGGCTTGGAATTAAACCGTTGAGATCGTGAAACAAGTTATCGTTTGCAGTCATCCATATAATATTCTTCTATGTCTATGGATTTTTCGCTCTTGCTTTCTTCATAACAAACACAATGTGTCACAGCCAGTCTTTATACTATCTTAATCCGTATGTAAGGAATCTTGAAGGATATCGTTTCTAATTTAGATGTTAAGGGTCGTTTGTCATATCGGCTGAAATGTATATTCTTGGGAATGTATATGATTTCGATCCCCATGATCGTGACGTTTTATCTTCTATACTGGAAGGCTTGCATCACTATAGGTTCAGAATTAACTTCCCTATCATTGCATTGATCATATGATTTACTTCAGGATATGAGCTATTTGCTCTCACTGAGTATGCCGACGCATTCATAAGCACAGCTTACCATTGCTGCGCATTCTTTGATATTCGTTATAAAGTAATGAGGCTCATACTTTGAACCCCGAATAATCAGCATTATTAAGGTTTTATTCAAACTGACGTATTGTCCTCGACGTTTGCAACAGCTGGCCGAATCAACTAAAAAAACATCCAATAACGAACAAATTGCAAATGCAACTTCATAAACTTCTTGGAAGAGTATTTCTTACATGTATTCTGATGATTATCTCACTTTATGATTTTCATCCAGATGTTTTGTGAGGTAACTGATATTTAAAGCACTTGAAAAGTTTCGAGAAAATAAAGAGATTAAAGATAGCAACCATTCCCCACTAACTTCTTTTTAAAAAAGGAAATGATTCAGGTTATTTCACTTGCATTACGTGCTGAACAAATTGAATGAAATTATTGAAAATGAAGATTTTTTTATGATCCGAATGAGCTATAATCATTTTAAAACAAAATTAGTAGCCTCTTCTCGGAACAGCAGTAATTACATTATACCATTGTGTTCATCGAATTATAATAGTTAAAAATCATGAATCTGAAACCATATTTTAATGTGTCAAAGTGAGAGCATAACGCTCCTTCAAGTGTACTGTAAGAGATGTCGTACGTGATACGTACAATATAGGAAGAGCCGTTGAACAAGTATAAGCTTGAACATTGATGAAGTTGCGATGTCGGCTTCCCGGTTAATCTCTTGTTTACCAGTTTTTTCAAAGATACCTACTTCTCTTTTGCATAATTGTTATGGTAACTCAACCGTTCAAGGTATGTGGTTATTTATCGTAAAATTCCGCTATTTATTTTTAGTAAGATCGAATGCTTGGAGAGCAAGCATAGGTAAAATTGCACGATCAAAGTATTTACTGCGTTATCCAATTAGAATAGTCAAATCAGATGGATCAACAGTAGAGCTCCGGTCATCAGAGCCTAGACAGGTTTGACTTCTAATAATAAATTCATGAACTTGGCAAAATTTTCAGGTTGTTCAACTAGCCGTAGATTTGAAAGCTTTGAGTGAAGATGAAAGGAGACAACGGTTAGCTGCTCGAAAACCCAAAGCCAAAAAAATTGAAGAAGTATTATTTTCATTTTTTTGAAAGACTGCTTACTTTATCTTTACAGGAAGTCATTGATGATAATTTCGATGAAGCAGATTACCTCCAATACTTTTCTCAATCTGCTTCCAAGAAGAAATCTATTTAAATCACAGCAGATATTTGTTTTTGTTAGGTTTTGCTTAGAGAACAATGAAGTTATTACGTGTAGTTTACTTGCAATCTATCTAACCCTTTGATTGGGTTCTTATTATCTGTTTTTTCATAATTTTCATAAAGGTCCAGCGTTTCTTTCAGATGAGCTTCAAGTATTCCATCATTCTCCCAACTTATAATGAGAAGGAAAATTTGCCTATCTGCATCTACTTAATCAATAAATACTTGACGGATGTGAAGTACGAGGTGTGCACAGTCTATTTCTTTTCCTTCTAACCATTTTGCTCAGGTTGTTATTGTGGATGACAACAGTCCAGACGGAACTGCAGATATTGCTAAAAATTTGCAAAGAGTTTGTAATACACTAACTTTCTTTCATATAATTTGTCTCAGGAATATGGAGAGGATAAAATAATTTTACACCAACGTCCAGGCAAACTTGGTCTGGGAACAGCTTACGCCGCAGGCTTGAAATATGCTACTGGAGAGTCAGTTCTTGATATGTTTTGCTTTTACCTCTCATTCAGCTTTATAATTCTCATGGATGCCGATCTTTCCCACCATCCCAAATTCATTAAGGAAATGATAGCTCTGCAGAAAGAAAATCAGGTTTTTTGAAATTATTTTTCAAAACAATTAATTTGGTTTCCAGTTGGATATTGTCACAGGAACTCGCTATGCTTTAGGAGGAGGAGTTTCTGGTTGGAACTTCACTCGTAAGCTTATCAGTAAAGGAGCCAACTTCTTAGCACAGGTTTGAATAGTATCATAACTTCATCATGATATGAGTGATAGTTCCTGCTCAATCCCGGTGTTTCTGATTTGACTGGATCTTTCCGGCTCTATCGTAAAGAGCATTTAAGCAAATTGATTGAGCTGAGTGTTAGTAAAGGATATGTTTTCCAGGTTTGAGAGAACTCAGTTTTATCATAGGCATTCTAAAAATTTAGATGGAAATGATGTTCCGTGCGCGCAAAGCTGGAATGAAAATTGGAGAGGTTCCTATAACGTTTGTGGATCGTTTCTTCGGAGAATCCAAACTAGGAAGTAACGAAATAGTTGATTATGTTAAAGGCCTGCTCTACCTCTTCACGAGTGTTCACTAAGAGGCTTTATTCAAGATTTTATAATTTATACGTTTCATACAAAATTTATTAATATTTAATTCATGACTGTCTTACTGATCGTATCATTCCTGTCTTGCTTTATTTCCTGGGTTATAAAGTTTTATTTGGAAAGCTCTGTTTGAATGGATCTTTGACAGACAGTGTTTCAAGATAACATTGCCCTTCATCAAAAATTTCGATAAGCAATTGATTTTAGCTGATTGATTATTCAGTAGGCAAAATTCATCTCCCAAATCGCTTTTTTTCAGATTATGTTGAAGTTTCTTTTGAGTTCATTAGTTCTTCTCTCGTTCTCAACGGTTTTCTCTGCACCTATTGACCAAGAGCTGAGTTATGAGTGTGCATCATGTCAATTGGCAGCACACTTTGTAAATTCTCAAAAATCTAAAAGTGATAAAACAGGTTTAAACTCACCTGCTTTTCCTACCAAATAATTCGTTCAGACAATTTCGTATCACAAAAAGCCGTGACTCGTCATTGCTCGAAATTGGAAAATTGTGGCGTAGCTCTTACACATTGTCAAGTTCTTCCTTATAACAAATCGTTAGCCAATCGTAATAAATTTAGATTGTTACTAAGCTGGCTTCTGTCCCTCTTGTGTTGCCAGGGAACAGCAGCAGCACTAATCCTCATAAACTCATTTTGGAGAACTCCGTACAGACGTTCCTACGTGAAGCTTCGAATCAATGCGTTCAAGGCAATTGAGAGAATAGACTAATGTTTGATCGAAAATAGTAATTCAGATCCTAGCAAAGCTGTCATTACTAGCAATGACCAGTCCCTGAAATGTAGTTTGTGTATTCTAATTTATAACTTTTTCAAATACTTCAACACAGGTGCTTTATCTTAATTTCTTTCTGAGAAAATGTTTTTTTTCTTCTTAGCCATTCTTGAGAATCCCATGCTTACATATGTTCCCGATGCCGTGAAGCTCACATGCTTCATAGTGACCAATGGCTTAGGAGGAGAACCAGCAGTTGTAAGATTGACTTCTCTTTCAAACCCTCTATAACTACTTATCCTTCCTGAACACCATATTTTTTATAAATTACATTCATTCAGTGCCAGGCTATGATTGAAGGTAATGGTCTTGTGGATATCATGAGAGGAATACAAGACTCTCTCGGAAGTTTCTATGATCTCATTGCCGTCCAAGGCATGGGATGCTACCCATATCAGCAACTTTTTTCCGATTGTGGTTATTAAATATCGAATTGGAAGAAGTAAAATATACAGCATGTATTTGAATCCATAACAACAATTAACAGAGCAATAACCATTAAAATGTAAACAACAAGGAAACAAAACAAAACGATGAATACAATAACAATTTCGAAAGTAACAACACAACGTTTCTAGGAGACCATCAAACTTCTTAATCGTCGAACTTCGTCTTCTTGTTGAAAGAATTATCACCGAAACCTCCAGATCTCTTGAAACCTGGAAATAACTTTCCTTTCAATACAAAAAATATCTCACAAACCTCCACGATCTCCTCCACGGCCACCTCCGAAGCCTCCTCGACCACCTCTATCACCACCAAAGCCTCCGCGTCCACCGCGATCTCCTCCACGGCCACCTCCGAAGCCTCCTCGTCCACCTCTATCGCCTCCGAAGCCTCCGCGACCACCTCTGTCACCTCCGAAGCCTCCTCGTCCACCTCTGTCACCTCCGAATCCACCTCGTCCACCACGACCGCCACCGAAGCCTCCGCGGCCACCTCTGTCACCACCGAAGCCTCCGCGACCACCTCGGCCACCTCCTCTGAAAAATAAATGAATTGAGAGAGAGAGAGACTATGAAAGTCTGAACCTGTCTCCACCTCTTCCTCTACCACGGCCTCCTCTTTGGGTATTACCACCTAAGAATCTGAAAAAAAAATATTATTAGCGTATAGCAGGCTTTTTTTTTACCTATCTACAGGCATTAACTTGTAAGGATCAATAAAAATTTTTTGGTTTTCTTCGAAAGATTTAGCCTTGATACCATTTTGAAGTGTTACGGTGAAGCCCTGGTAAAAACTGCTTTGAAAAGTCACACTTCGCCAACTTACATTATCCATTGGTCCTCCGAAAATTTCGTCAACTTTTCCTATCTGTTCCTTATTTTCAAAAAAAATTGGAGCATTAAAGAATGGAATTTTGCCGCTAGTGTTATTGCATACGATATCTTGTTCACAAGTATGAGTGAAATAACCTGCTTCAACAACCTGTAAACGCTTTCGGTTATAAGTCCTCAGATTTTCGGTGTTACCTCTTCTGGTGGGCCGGCATCATAACCACCTCTTCCGCCTCCACGGCCACCACCTCGACCTAATGATTAATATTTTGTTTTTAAATTTTGATAAAATATTAAAACCTCCTCGATCTCCTCCTCTTCCGCGTCCTCTGAACGACATCTGAAATGTTCTAATAGAGTGCACTTAAAACTGCATTCGTTCTACTACGCTTTTTAAATAGAACAGCATATAATACAAAAGACGTAATATTGATAAAACTTTTTAGGAGTTAAACTTTATGATTACGGTTTTACTGTGATATGGTAATTCGAAAATCCACGAAAGACAAGTACGAATCGAAAAGCGCGACCATCTTCAATTTGAAAGAGATGACGAAGCATTTTCGTTAAATTTTTCTAATCAGAGACAGAAAAATTTTTCTGAACAAATTAAAAAGTATAATTAATTCGATACACTCCTCAAAAAATGTTCCCAAATTAATTTAATAATAAAAAATGAATATCTTTAAGTGAAAAGCATTGGAATGTTTTGCATTTGCTTTTTCTGGCCCAATAGCTTTGGGACCATATTTGCAACTCCACCCTTTACATATCCTTCGTGCATGAATTCTAATATTGCCTTTCGGTTTCAAATTATAATAATAGATTTAATTCCTGTTAATTTTATGTTTCTTCTGTATATTCGACTAAAACGAATATTTATGAATCGATATTGGCCTTCTTTTTTTTTCATAAATATTTTGTCGATAAAGTCGATAGTGTTGGCAGAAAACCAACTTTTCTTCGCGCCACGGACTACTTGGCGTTCACCCAAAGTATTTTTTACGCCGTTTCGTCAATTTCTTTTTATGATTTGTGCACTATTCCCGATTAAAATATTGAATTAGTAACGAATATGAAGCAGAGTAAAGGATAAGAAATCCTACGGTTTCTGTCCAATGGCGTCTAATCTTCTAGCTATCTTTATCTTACTTCGAGGTACAGATTTTAATGACGTGCAATATTATATCTGAGCTAGTTCGAGCAATTAATTTGGCTCATTTTCCATACTAGTTTGTTCCAATTGGTGTCAGATTGATTAGAAAGAGAAGAGAAGGAGAGTAAGAGAAAATTGCTAGAGTGAAAGAGAGGAGAATGAGGCGAATAGAGAGGTTCACTTTCTACTCTTCTTTCTTACATAGAATTGCTGACCATGTTTGACCAATTTCCTTTTGCTCTATAATTTTTTTATCTAGTTCAGTTTGAAATGATACTCCCAACTACGGAACTGCTATCGATGCACTTACGTTCTTCCTATCTGAAATGTTTGAACTTACACTTTGGTCATGTCAAGTGATATGAAATTGCACTTTCTACTTTTTTTTGAAACGCAGCGCAGAGTTTTTCTTTCGTTTTTTTGATGAATTTTCGTATATCTTTCATTAGTCTTGTGAGATTGTGGCCATAGTTAATAATCTGCTCTTATCACTTGCCGCAGCTCATCCCCCTGAATAGGATTTGCTTAACATCAGGATTATCATCTATCTAATTTCACTGATTGATTTTCTTTTGGATGACAAGCTTCTTCCTTATCCACTTTTACATCATTTCAAAATACTGTTTCATTTTTTTTTAGTTTTATAGTTCTTCTGATTGGTATCCACGGGACGGCGATTGAATTGTTATGCTTTTCCGATTGCTAAATCGATAATCATAGATTATTGATCCATAATGCGGCCTAACCGCTCATCTACTCAGACTTCAGAATCTTCTCCTAATGTGAAGAAGCATAGGTGAGACCATTTCCTGTCTCATCATATCCTCATTCTAATCTTTGATTCAGTGGTTCTTCCGGCTCTGCTGAGCAGAATGAAGCCGCCGCAGTTCCTCGAGTTAGTCCAACTACGCTCAATAATGAAAGATCTACGGAAGCATTCCTGGTTCGAAGCATTTGTAAACCACTCCGTAAAATTGTAAGCCAAAACAGGAGGAGACATCAGACTGATGGTTTCGATCTCGATTTATCATGTAGGTTTTATATGATTCAAAAATTAGTTCCTACTAACTAGCTGAACCACAAATTAATGATTTTGTAGACATCACTGATCGCATAATAGCTATGGGTTATCCTGCCGATACAGCTGAAGCTGTTTATAGAAATAGCATGAATGACACCAGAGAGTTTCTTGAGAAAAATCATAAAGATCATTACAAAGTTTTCAATCTGTAAGTTTTGTTAATTCGTCAACCTACAAGCATTAATGCTGTTACAGGAGAGGATTGTATGCTTATGATCCTAGCAAATTTCATAACCGTGTGAGATTCTTTGAAATGACTGATCATCATCCTCCTAGATTGGAGATCATGGCTCCATTTTGTCGCGAAGTGAGTATTCTGCTCTACAGTTTTGAATTCTATATTTTTTTAGGTTCATGAATACTTGGAAGCAGATCCGTTGAATGTTGTTGCAGTTCATTGTAAAGCCGGAAAAGTGAGTAGCAGATGGCTTTCGATATCAATCTAACTTTTGTTTCAGGGTCGTACGGGTGTTATGATATGTGCTTATTTAGTTTACATCAATTTTTATCCTTCTCCAAGACAAAATATGGATTATTATTCTATTGTTCGTACGAAAAATAACAAGGTAAAATGAATCATAAGGAGAAGTTTAATAAAATCATATTAGGGTGTTACCATTCCATCGCAAAGACGCTACGTGTACTACTTTTCTCATTTAAGAAAACATTCCTTGAACTATATGCCTCATAGGATTGAACTAATAGGAGTTTACTTTGAAAAAATACCGAATAGATCAGGTTAGAGACACACCTGGTATGAGTTGGAACTTTTTCTTACAGCTCTATTGAGCAAGCGTAGTGGCTTCGAGTTGCTTGTTTCAAATATGGATGTTGACGTTTTCCGTGGAGATCCTATGTGGCTCACGAACGAACAGTGGTGATATTTCCTAACCCCTCGGTTTTTTCTAAATTTTTCGCTTGTCCAGGAATGAAGAAGAGGAATGTTGGAATGGCAACGTCGTTCCTCATGGCGGAGATCACTATGATCCTATAACTCCTGTTCAAGGGAATGATGTCATTTCTCGGTTTGCCGAAACTTGAATCTTCATTTATAAATCCAACTTTAAGGCGAGCTTGGGGATGGACAGTTCCCCCGAACAAACGCGTTTTCTTAGAAGGAGATGTCAGAGTAAATTTGCATACGAGAACTAAACGTTTCCCCTTGAACAGTTCCAAGGGAAAGGTTGTTATTTCGGAATATCATACAAAATCCTTATAAAAATGTTCTAGCTTGGCCATGTATGGTTTAACACCATGTTCTCGTGTCCCGGGTTCTGTGGTAGCGTGTACCGACATGGAGATGAAGCACATCCTTATCCGGATGGAGCAACGACAATTGCTGAACGTAAAACTCAACCACATCGTCCAAAAACTGGAAGCACAAGTTTACCTAATTCTCCACCTGGTAGGTTCCAGTTTTTTGAAAGCTCTCGCTTTTTTAAAATTCCTAAGTTAATATAACGGGGTGCAGGCACTCCGATTTCGCGTTGTGTTGGCGGAAGCGTTTCTGGACGTAAGGCTGCTCGAACTCCTTCGTTTGAAGCTCGGAAATCGACGGGAAGATGTACAATGTTCCAAATAAACTCCGTAGTGAGACGGCGTGGGTAGAATTATACTGCATGTGCCTCACACTTTTTTTATTTAAACGCCCAAAAGCACCAGTGCGTGTAGTACATGCACTTTAGGCTTCTATCATATTGAAAACTGTCTGTTGCATTGGAGTTAGTGCTCTCACTCTTTTCTTGTCAACACTTGAATGTCCTGGGAAAGCATGATTTTTCATCTTGTTTTTGCAGTTACTGATGCCGCTTCAAGGAATAGTGAACCCCATATTGATCATAATGCTGAAGAACGTATTTCCTCTCGCAAACTTGATCGAAAGAGTGGGAAAGACAAAGACAGGCCTTCTTCTACCTGGAACGAAGATATGGAGGTGCTAGTTCAATTACCTCATGAGTTTTCAATCGTAATCTTACTTCAGCTAATGCTTCCACCGGGATTAGATAGGCATTGTCCCAAGGAAAGTTTAGAACTACTATATGGAAGAGATAAGAGCCCGTGAGTATTTTTTAATCTTTTCCATTCTCGATATAAATGGATCATTTATCTTTGATTCCAGTCCTCGAGTGCGTATTGAAGAAATGCTACGGGAAGCACACCAGAAAGATTTAATCCAAGATTCATATAATAATCGTCGTTTGAGTGTGCCACAAGGTTTATATTTTCAAAATCAAAAACTAAAAACTAACCCGAATTACACATCTAGTTAATATCATTCTAATTATTCACAGCGCATGCAACCACGCGCTTAAAAACATAAATGATTCTACCGCGCGGCAAACGCTTACGTGTAGTGTAATTCACGTGCACAAAATTTGAATATTCATTTCGAATACTTTTTTTATCTAATGGGACTGGAATGGCAATTCGTAAATTGAACTCGTGCCAGTAAAAACTGTAAATTTTTCAAATTTGTCAGATAAGAAAGTTTATCGGAATCCGTTTTCAAATTCTTGTGATGCTATATGATTAGAAATGTTCTTATTTTGGAAACACAGAGTAATATCGAAAAGCACTGAAAGTATAATTTTTGCAGAAGGAAACCCTGTTAGTTCAGCCCCAGAAGGACGTCCTAACGCTTCTGGACCTTATCTAATTCGTAGAGCTCCTGAGGAGCATGTTCAAGTATTCTCGGTATTAGAAATTGACCGAGCCTGTAAGAAGAATATTGAGCCAGGATTCCAAGTAAGCTTCCGTCTTCGTTTAACTTTATGATTCAATATTTTCAGATGATTATCGTCACTCGTTGTCTTAGACCTGAAGATCAACCTCTAGCAGAGATTTTCACGAGGCTTACGTATGAAAAGCAAGCAGAGAAGGATAAAATCAAGCAGGAAAAGGTAATTTAGTCTTTAAAGCTTTTTACTTTAACTTTTTCTAGACTAACCCTAAGTCGAAGAAACTTCAAGGGGTAGACTCGGGAGCTTCGCTTGGTGTGGAACATGAGATTTTTGATTCTACACTTGCAAAAACCGGAACTGGCTCTGGTCTTTCTACTGATCCGCGTAGAAGCGATCCTTTCTTGAGCAGGTACTTTCATCGACAACGGGAGGATTCTGTTTCCGTTTACCCTGGCCTTTCTTATAGGTTCTAAGGCTGAAGGAAGGAAAACATTTCTAACTTAAATATTTTCAGATGCCCTCTTCTACCACAACAGTCATGCTGTGAGTCTGTTGAATTGGCTAAATCTCCAAGTGAAGATAAACCCTCATGTGTAAAAAGCACATCGAGCAACTACAAAATACAGTATGAATTACTTGCAGACTGATTGGGAAGCTGGATGTACTGAGTATTCTTCTGGAGACATGAACGAGTTAGACATTGAAGTTCGCAGTTATCATCCTGATGCCGGTGATTATCAGTCTGGAAGTAGTCGAAGCAGTAGCAGCGTTGGTGTCAACTTGTTTCTTCCTAGTACATTAATTTTTTTTAGAGTGATGGGTGTGCTGCCCCTGCTGATGGATGATCAACTATATGTCACGCTATAGTGATTTTATATTAATATATCAACCTCAATGTCGTTCCAGAAGCTTCAGTATGACCGGTTGATTGTCTAACTCGGTAGGCGTACGTACGTCGGTACCCTATGAATTCTCTTTCTCCCCTCTTTTCTCTCTCTCTCCCTCTCTCGACTCACGGTTACTCACACATTGGTGATTTCAACTGGTTTTTTGAGCTTTTTACCTAGTCTACTCACATATTCAGATCCTGTATCTCATTCACCGTAGATACCAATCCATTTGAGTGCGCCAGTGTTTGAATTTCTATGTACATACTGTTATCTAATCTTATTTCTATATATATTCAGACACTTAATCGTGCAATTTATACTAATTGAAGTATCCTAATTTGGCCTTTGCGTACGTTAAAATGTTTTAGAGGTTAGAATGGACTAATATCATTTATTTAGTACTGTTGAAGATTTTAAATATTTTTTTACTAACTCTCCCCTCTCGCTGTCCTTTTTCACCCTTTTATCTCTACACCTTTCTCACTCTTAACAATTACAGAAGAGAACTTTTAATATATTTAAATAATAATATCGATTTCTAGAAATCTGCATAGATGACCCAAGTAAACTGAGAATCACTGTCGTTTTGCCTTAAATTTCGCGATTCCTAGTTCTGTTCGTCATCTTCTCAAATGATCCTCAGTATCGTTTTATGCTAATTTTTTCATAAGATTAGTTCTTTCTAACATAACCTGGCTGGTTCCTAAAGATTTTATATGTGTTTATCCTGTGAATACAGTTGCTGTATATAAGCCCAAATGTGTACATACATTTACCACTACTATTATCATCACCATAATCATCGTTACCTTTGGCGAATCGAAATGAAGTAGAATGTGCAAAGGATATTTTTGGATACATCCCATCACTCTCACCCCACCTCACCCGCCTCAAACAACTTTTGGGTTTTTCTTGTCTATTTTCGAAGTTGTTTATGTTCTTGTTGTCTTATGTCTAACTCATCGCCCTGTACGGGCTTCATAACAACGCCATTTAAGCGAAATTGTAATCTCTTCAATCAAATTTCTTTCCGAATTACTGTTGAAAATCTACTATACATGGTATTGTTTTGTGTATACTTAGTTATATATGCGTTATATATTTAAGCTTACTCCCAGTTTCCATTCGAATTCCTTTGTTAAGTTGCCGTTTTAACAAGAAATCGTTCTTTGTAACACATAGTTTTTTCGAATTAATAAATTCAAAGAATATAAGGAATACCAGTTCATATTATTGTCGATTTGAGCATTTTCCAATACAATTGTATTAATGATGTTGATAATAAAACATATTGAAGATCTGTTGTACTTATGAAGTAATAACGTGAACCAACCACCCCGAAACAGCTCTTTTTCTCGGATTTTCTTTTTTCGCGCTCTCGTCTTCCACTCAGCTTTACATGAATATGAATTATAGATGAAGTAAACGTACGTGTTTTATTACAAAATGCGTCTTTCTCTTCAATCTGAATAGCGGAAGGGAGGAGGACGAGGGTAGGAGGAGTCTTGGATCTCCCCCTCCCTCAGTTCGTTCTTTTCCCTTTTCAAGGTATGCTCTCGTCTATTACCCTTAAGATTTTTTTTATCTCTTTCTTACTTCTTGAATCAGTGTTCTGTCTGAACGAAGACGAGGAGGGAATCGTTGGTTATGCCCCTCGACAACTTCGTTCGCCCTATTTCGGAGAGTAAGCCAGTCGTATTGAGTCAAAGAAAACAGATGAGTATTTTCAGATTTACATTTGGTAGCCTTAACCGTTTGCCCCGTTATGCTTTGCGAAGACACCAGAATACAGGTTGGAAGAAAATGTTCACATATTATTTACAAAAAACAATTTCAGTGCTGCCGAAGAGAAACTTTCTCGGAAGTTGGATGAGTAAAGCGTTCATTTGACAACTTTTCAATTAATAAAATAATTAATGTTAAAATACTATAAAACATAAATGATTTCGAACGTGTTAGTGATGACTCCCAACTGTTATTATTTCTGTAGGTGAGAAGGTTTAGCGGAAGCTAGGTGTGCACTTGTCAGAGTTATATATCAAACTGCTCGGAGGTGCACACTTGGAACTGCTGCAAAGAGAATGTAGCAAAGGATAAGATGGTGTAATTACTAAATGTGCTTGGTAAGGACTTCCTTTGAATGAAACTTTCGGTTGCAGGTGTCACAAATAAGTAAAAAACTACCATGTGATAACTAAAAATGGATGTGACGATGTGAAGGCGTGTCAAATTGTGAAGAAATTACCTCCTCGTGCCTTTTACGATCATACAATGTGGGGAGGATGAAACTGCAATGTCTGCATCTAATTGGGTATTTTTTCCTGGATATTCCACACTCATTCGTACGGACTGTCTGGAAATGAAAACGTTACTGTGCTTGAGTAAGTATTCTCTTAGCTACATTCGAAAATTTCGGGATGGCATGTACGCTGTTGATGGGTTGGAAAACATTTGCGAAGTTGTTGTGTTCCTTCAAAAGGATTATAAGATTGACCTTCTATGTAAACCAACTGACCGCAGCGAAAGAAGGGAAATTGTTTGTGGATGAGATACTCCTAAAACGAAGAACTTTAATTAATTTTGATCTGAACGGAGGACTTGTCTATTGTGCTCTCCCAAATGTTCATTTGACTTGGAACGAAGAAGTCTGAAGAAAAAGTATAAAAAGGAAGTTAGTTAGCTCGGGACCGTTGTCATAAGAGTTCAAATAGTCAGTAGACTGCCAACTCAAAGGATAAGCAGCATGATTGCCCAATCTGTAGACATCTTCCTCCGAGTTCTGGCTGCAAAATAGACATTGGACAAAAATAGAGAAAATGCTCAACTTTGTTGAAAAGAAAATTCTGTTGAGGTCTTCCAAAGCTTTTCCTGTTTCCAGTTTATTTGTCACAACCTCCGACAAATTCGGCATAGCTCCTCTCCAAAAGAGCAACCATATTCAAATTAGTTTTACCAGCTACAGTACAAATTAAATTCCGGCCGGGACACTCACGAATCAAGAACAGTCAATGTGTTAAATTCTTTGTTAATATTGAAAAAAAAATTTACAAGATAGAATGCTTTGTACAATTTAGGCTTGAAACGTGCGTGAGCATCAGATCACTTTTGAATTATTTCATAAACGTCGTCTTCGATTTCACTGCTATCTGAGTAATCGTCCGAATAAAAGAGTTGAGAGTTCACAACTTCGAAGATTTCTTTTTCGGCCAAATTAGAATTCTGAAGAACAAGAAAAAAATGATTAAAGTGTCGTATTGAAAGAAAATCACCTTTTTGGCCAGATGATAACACATGGCACAATAGGTCACGTCATCTTCAGAGTTAAAGAACCACTTAGAGGTTTCTTGTGATTTGCACAAGCTGCATTTGTAGAACTGCAAGTAAGAAGATGAAAGGGGTTAAAATAAATATTTCTCACTTCGTTGAACATTTTGACGGTTTTAGTATCAGATTGTGTGAGTAAAAAATAATAATGTCTCTGAACAGTCTGATTGATATCTAATCAATTTGGATCTTTGCCCATTAGATTTCGCAAGATGTGACTAAACTACAGCCTCAGCAGTTTTTTTTATGGAAAGAGGAGAGTAGGAAAACAACTTGTATAATACAAATGGTACGTTTGTTTATTTATTATGATTAGTATATACAATAGCGAATTTCAATCATAGACGCGTGTTAATCCATTTTACTGATCAAATATTAGTCTGAGCAGATTAGAAGTCGATCATCTCATACATATCGCTTTCGTGTTTCTCTTCCGCTTTTTTTGCTTCACAGTTATTTATGACTTCGAAGACATCAGCTTCACGAATTTTTCCTCTCTGCAATCTCATTTGTCTTAAAGGATATTTTAGGAATTCAAACAAAACATACGCTTTTAGCTTGATAATAACACATTATGCAGTAAAGCATGTTGTCGTCTAATGAGAAATGCCATTTCGAGGTTTCATTTGTTTTACAAAGAGTACAGCGGAGGTTCTGAATAAGGAAATGAAAAGAGTTGCGAATAGAAATGAAAACCTCTGATGATTGCAACGTCTCCATTGTATAAGAGAATGATCAGCAGCTCTGTTATATAATCTTATTGTAGATATAATGTTTCTTGTCAGTGACCTCTGTGTTTTTCGCATAAAGGTTATACCCGCGACTCCCATATTTTGCTGTTGGCAAGGAATAATCTATTTTTTGTGTATCAACAAACATGTATATACACATAATTATGAATAAATCAGCGCTTTTTTTTCTTTACATGGAAGATAGTATACGGTTTCGTAAACGATGGATAAGAATAACTTGATGGTGCAACCGTTTCAAATCATTGGCATTCCAAAATGGCTGAGTCATTACTTTGTTTCACGTCGTAGTTGCCACGTATGCTAATTAATAGGCATGATAGCAGAGTGCAGATATTAGAAACAATCAAAATTGTATTTTTAACTCTGTTATAAAAATGGAATGGAATTTGTTGTGTATTCAGCCGAGAACAACATATCGTTTCGTCCAAATTAGAAATATCCCTATGCAACGTGTCAAGCTTAGAGCTTTACAAAAAAATCATTTGATTTGTTAATTTTATTCTAAATTCTCTAATGAAACTTTTCAAAAGTTTTGGTTATGGTCCCATAAACAATTTATTTCTCATCTTAAAAGACAATTTAAGAAAATGTGTGAACGTGAGAATGTACAGGGAGAAGAATAGGAAATGCAAGTATAACGGCTCTTTGGTTTCTGTTTTTTTGCATACTGGCCTGTTAATGAATAATTACGAAGTATACTTAATCGGTATACATACGCTCTGAGAATATTTGATGAAATAAGATGTGTATTCTAAACGAGAAATTTTGGATAGATGGTATTATTAAAGAAAAGAGGTTCAAGCTTCAGAAACCACCGAATAATTGTATTAATAATGAATGGAAAGTATACTCTCCCGTTCTTTGGGTTTTCAATCACTACTCCATTGTCGTTTCTTTCTGTTTTCCATCATCCAATCTGGATACAAATGTATAATCAATTTCATCAGCTTTACTATTCCATTCACACATTCGTGATCATCTACATGAGGGAATTAGTTAGATAGGATGACCGTACTCCAATATCGTCCCCCCTTATCATTGCGTATCGTTTTTTCTTTTTCCGAGGTGTCTCATCGACAGAAATAAGTTTATACTTTCTTTGTAGTTACAATTGTCACAAAACAAAGAAACACATGTTTTTTTGTTATACTGATCTCAAAACTAACATGTTATGAGCATGTTGAGGTAGATGAGTGTGGATTAACAACTTGATCAATCTTTCGATATCCAATATCTTCTAATAAGTTCGCAACACACTATTCTGAAGTACGAAGATTAGACGACATTCACACACTGCAGATAAAGAGTACAAGTTGAACGTCCTCTTTCACATAAATAGTAATGAACACTAAGTTATGTAGGGAATCTTTTCATACGGAAAAGACGAATGGACTGAAAAATCTCAACGATAGTCGAAAATCCCTCATTTATGATTAACGAGTTGAAAAACATATAACAAGGAACCTTTTTTATTTTTAAATGTTCTCCTCGCCCCCGATCTAATTTAGGATCTATTAGATATAAATGGTATGATGCGAAAAAAATATGACGAATAAAGGGCAGGCTTCTTTCGAAAATTGAAACTTTTTTTGGATTCTCTCTCGAAGCGAGCATCACGTCATGATCCGAAAAAAGACATGTAGTTCCTGAAACCACTCATCCCAAAATGTGACATCATGCATGTGCTTCACGTGGTCGATATTGAGCACTGTAGGAACTTTTCTTACGTGCTTTTCATATTTTCAATGATTAATTTTTTTCTGAAGTTTCATCAACCCCAAAATACAAAAATCTCAACTAAGTCGATACTTACTCCTTTGTTTAGATAAGTCTACTTGATCGATCTGTTGACTGGACACTTGCAAGTAAACGGTTCGACGAGACTGTCAATAATCGGAAAACCGTGCGTTCATTGACTATTTACATTATTGCGTTCATGGTAAAGTTTATGAGGTGTTTGACCCTCAAACCAACTTATCATTTTACCGAACCTGAATTAACATTCAGGACTGTTTACAGTACGATTTGTGATCGATCTTGAACCATTTATTTGTTTTCTTTTTTTCATAAAATTTATAGCACAACTTTCGATTCAATTTACAAATGTTGTTATAAATGTGTGAATTTCCTCCGCTTTTCTTCATGGCCCGGCTTCTGGAGTTTATTTTGTTGTTAAGGTGAGGATATTGTGCTAGATACCTGACATGCAATGATGTCGGTTAGAGGGAATGCAGCCATATACGATGTTAAGACATTAGACATTTCCTCTAGACAGTCCAGGTGTGTGGAGCTAATCACATAGAAGTATAGAGAAAAGCCATCATTCCACACATCTATCATCCGTCTGAGGAGGTTTGTCTGCAAGCTTACTACTATTTGAAAAGCTGTTCCCTTCCGTACCTTCGTGAAGAATGTTTCATCTTTGACGTCTTCGTAATCTGCAATTCTTCTTGAACCATTGCATTTCAATTTGACATTTTGTAGTAAATCTAAAATATCATCAAGCCCCATTTGGATGACCATGCAAGTGGAATTAAGTGAATTCTAGAAGTAAATTTATAAAATTATTCTGAAACACTGAAGCATTTACAGCTTTAATCATTTGACTTCCATAATAGACAATAGTAGGATTAGGTTTGCCTCGAGGATCAACAAAAGCGTAGAGAAATTGCTTTTCATTGTCTTCTTCCAATGGCTTAAAAGCAAAAATGAAGTTCCTTTTTAAATTATAAAGTCACCGGATCGATAATGAGATCTCCATATTTGTCTTTGTAACATTCATAAAAGCTCATTTTAAAAGAATCAATTTGGCTTTCCATTTGCTCGCTCAACTAATATTCATTTATTGCGGCGGACAAGAAAAAACCGACTATTTTGCTATTATTGACTTTGAATTTACGGCTCTTCCTCAAAACAAAGCGAATATGATCACGAGCTCTGCAATAATTTTCTGAAAATTGAAATTGGCCGACAAACCTTTGAGAAATTGACGCAAGGCACACCATTTCTACAGCTTCAGCCTCACAACTCTTTTTTTCTTATCAAAAGTTTAAAAACATATTTTCCACCGCCTCAAAAACGTGTGCAATGAAACTACTGTCAACAAACAGATGAAGGATAATTTTATTCGTCTGAGTCACTGTCATCTCCAAATTTTTGTTCAATCACATTAAATCTCGAACTTAAAGCGTTTTTAAGATCTACAGGCAGAGGAATAGATGGTCTCTGCTGCCGGACATATGTCGTGTCCCCGTCCCCTTCTCCCAGGCCTTCTAATGTAATCTGAAGAAAGAATATATTAACAGAAAAAGCTTTCGAACATTAATAACTTCTTCTTTTTGTTTGCTGGCCTTTTCTTCCTCTTGTTTCTTCATCTTTTCTTCCTCATCATCTTCTCGTCTCAAAATTTCTTCTTCAGTAACACCATAAAAGGCAGCAAGAGCTCTTCGTTCCCGCAGCTCATATTCTTTTGATCTTTCACCCAGAGCATTTCGTAGCTCACCCATCAACATGCTGTTCGGGATTGTTGGATATGAGTCATCGTACTGAATAACATGCCAATTTTACTCTCGATGAAAACTATACCAGGTTCTCCTGCTGTTCTTCCTCCTTGGCATGGTCTGCAATAGTCTCATAGACCTGAAGACTTTTTGATTAGACGTCTTAACTTAACACAAACTTGATCAACAACAGGGCGTTGTTCATTATCAGTGATAATTTGGATTTGTGACTTTTCATTGTCAGTTTCAAGTTCTCTTTCTAGTGACTGTCCTTGGACAAGTGGTAGAGCTGAAACGACTGGCCAGTTGCTAAGAACTGTCATGTCTAAAACTCTTCCCAAAGCTCTTTTGATATCAGATGGTTGCATGTTATTAGCATGGATACTAAATCGAATTGATATATTCTAATCACAGTTTCATCTCTCCGACTTTTCCACGATTAAATCCAAGGCGTTCGCAACATCCTTCATTGAAGAGTTCTTCTGAGCTGAACTCGAAGAACGCACACAATTCTGCGCATGTTTCTTAGATTGATCGGACATATTCATATGCAAGCCTACAAGTAAACAGGAGATGTAAAACGGACAAACTACGAAACAATTTTTGGAATAATTTACTTTTGCTGTTCCCCAGTATAGCTTCCAAATCACAACAGAAATGTCTGAGAGTCATTAAAAATGATAATGTCTCAGTGGCTGTTCTCAATTTCATTGATGAAATAATGACTAATCTGCATAATTCACTTCTCAAGAGAATTACAAGATCAACGACAGCCTTAAATGGATTCTGGTTTTTTTTTCATTTCAAATCATTCAACGAACACCTAATCCCCTGTCATGAATGTGAATCGATTCCAAACTCAATTCGTCATTGAGCATTTCCTTCATATCGTCTGAATAAAAATTACTGAAGAGATGTTCTTTCTCCTCTTCTCTGTAACTTTTGTTGCAGGCATATCTCATTTGGATATCTTACAGCTTGTATCTCGTGACAATGAGTTCTGACATCCTAGACATATTTAGAGCTAATTCCCGAGCACATTGGAAAACTCGAAGACGGTGTTTCACTTGAGCCGGTGAAGTTATTCCCAATCTGAACAAATGTCCTATTATGTTCACGTCGATATAGTTAGAATAAACCCGAACGAAATTATATCTCTTTGCTTCAAATTAGAATGCAAGGATTTGACTGAACGATGAACATCGTAACAGATTTGGGCGAATTTCCTAAATTGTCGCCGAATAAGGAAGCTGCTAATTCCATAAGCCGATAGCGTGGCGCACAAAGTTCCTACGCCACTACATACTCCAAAAGTTTTATCTGAACATTGAATTGATTTCGTAAGAGAGTTATTGGAATCACCTTTGAAGTAAAGTACACTAGAAAGAAGAATGGAGCTAGAGATATACGGAAAGAGAGAAAACTCGGGAATCTCGATCCCACTTAGATAATAATCCAAAGAATCGGCGTCTACCTATGTGTTAAACAATCACAAACAGCAATGATTAATTTAACACTTCTTCTAATAATCTGAATTCTTCGAAATCCTTGTGCAATTCAGGAATTGACCGTGTTACTATATATCTCAACATAGGCTTCTGAACTTTTCATTTTCAATTCAGTTCAAAGAAGAACGGTTGTGTTCTCCTCAACTCAAAAACGATGAAGTACTATGCTTGATATACCTACAAGGAAAATCCTTATAATAGTACGAAATACGCGTGAACTCGAAAATTCATTACAGAGAAAACGGTAAAATTTGAGAATCACATATGTTAAAGATTTATCATAAGAGTAAACTCTTTACCGAGTCGGGACCACGTACTAGTTGAAGGTAGCACTTAGGGGGGAACAAAGCATTTGTATGACCTTTGAAAAAAAAATAAGGAAGAGCACCGATCACCGGGAGGGTTAAAGGGAAAATAAACGAAAGAAACTGCCTACAATACCCAAACTAAGCTCTAACAATAATGGTGCGAAGATAGAATCTTAGTGTCTCATGATTAAATAGGTAAAACATCACATATCCCATAGAAGTAACCTAATGAGCTTTGCATCAGGGTAAAAAGTAAGAAGAAAAAGAGACCCCAATGACGAAAGGGTCATAAAAATTTGATGAAAAGCACTTTCTAAAAAAAGGCGAAAGGGTATTCATGAAGTTAATTTACCCACATAACCCGGATATCACTTACATACCATTAAATAAATTTGCAAAAAAAACACACGTAAAAGCAATGAAAACACGTAAAAATTACCACTGCGAAAAAAGCGCTGATCACGACACAAAGCTGATTAATCTCTTAAAGGGAGGTAATGGGATTTAGGGTATACATGAGGAAAATTATGATTTTTCTATATCTAATGCTAATCCTACCTCTACAGAAGTTATAACTAGAAACAGGACAAGAGGGAGATTAGGATTCTCAGGATAAATATGAAGTGTGGAAGAGACATAAAGTGCAACCGAAGGTCAAACAATAAATAAAGGATAATAGCATGAAGTTATTTGAGCAACTTGTAAGTTACTGATCAGTTTCCATTTCGAAGTTTGAATCAGCGTGAGCACCATCGGGGGTTGGGTTTTTTTGGCAAAATACCAGCAAATAAGGTGATCGACTGCATAAAGGATCCGTAGGAGGTGTTGCTACAGATGTGGCAGAATCATTGAAGTCGTACCTACAAAGGAAAGAAAATGGTTTAAAAGACTTATCCACTTGTAACCCACCATTTTTTAGTGCTTTTGTTTAAGGCTGTAGCAGTGTAATGCCCTCCACCCATGCCTCCCATATGATGAGTGACGGCAATCAAATCGTATTTTATATGCTCATGGCGAGAATTGGCTAATTTAGAGTTTAATTCGAAGTTTCTGAACAAACAAAGAGCGGTGTTTTGATTTTTTATGGTGACACATTACCTGACCGGTATTTGAACTAGTTGTTCTAACTTTTCTCGCGTCCAACGACTGTATTGGAAGCGTTTGAGATGAACGATAAGAATCTTGAAATACTATTGTTTTGTCATATGGTAATCATAATGAAACCTCGGGCAGTTTCCATAACTCCAGTTTTTTTGAGGCTCTCTGATGTTTTTTACATTGTGGGCAGTACCAACTATCCTCCTCTTCAAGTTCTTCTTTTTTTGTGAAAAGATCAATACATTCTTCAAGTCGGATTTCTTTTCGAACTGTGATTCCACATTCTCTCTCAATAACATCCTGAAAAGTGGAGAGCAATAATGAAAAACAAAAAATAAAACATACAGATCCTTTATAATTATTGAAAGGCTTCGTCCCGTCATTCCATTTAAAAACGACAACATTGATATTATCATTGGTTAATGGCAAAGGTCCATCCTCCACGACTTCTTGATAATTTCCGTCACTTTTCCTCACATATAATTTGAAGCTATCTAAAAAAAACCAAATTGAGCCTATAAAAGAAATGTTAATCACCAGTTAGATCGGTATCACATCCACTCATAGAATCATCGTTGTTTTGATTCTTTTCTGACCAAACTGTGAACTTATCAGATTCCAAAAACATTGTCTTGGTGAAGGTCAAAGCTCGTGTGAGTAGGAATCTGAGAATATATCATGAGCTGAATGACACAATATAATTCGAACTGTCTGGTAAAATGAGATGCATCGAGAGCGGAATAAATCATGGGTACGGAGGTCGGTCTTCCGGTACTGCTTTGATTCCTCAAAGAAAGCGCATTAGCCAGAATGAATAGAAGGATTACTCACTTGACTACCAACAGTTTTGATGACTCAGCCGGATGATCTAATATAGTAGCGTACAGTTCTCTTGGTCTATCCTCTCTTATTAGAGTCTCTCCAGGTGCAATAACCTTTATATCGTCACTGGGCGAGGAAACAGAGAATAAGACATACTGAAAATACGATTTTGTGAGAACTATACTCCCATTCAATGCTTTCTCACGTTCAAATCTTGATTCAAAGTATTTCTCATAATAGCTTTCGCCTCTTCCAATGTCGTGGACTGTGTCACACTCATCGAGAACTGAAAAATCACCATCATTAGCTGTGAGCTCTTCAATCGGTTTTATCATTTACTTTTGCCCAGCTTTTCTGTCCAGAAGAGCTGTAACTCTGTTTTTGCTCCCTCATAAGTATGATGATCTGCTTATGAAGTTTGTCCTTGTTTGGTAACGGAACGGATAAGAAGCAGAAAGGATCAAATTTGATGCTGACCTAAAATATTGATTTTCACGCTAGAGTTCCTTACTTAGAAAGAACCTTTGAGCAAACGGGACAAACTAAAGTAGACTTCAATTGACCGTGGAACTTATCCACAATGATGCTGTCATTGCGAGATTTGTACGCCATCCAAGCTAATTCAGCATGCTTAATTTTCATAATTATTTTAGCTTTAATTGAATTCTAAACTTCATATTCGTCATATTTCGACATATCTTCTTCTTCTTCCATATATGGTTTGTTTTTCACTCTGTTCAAATCCTCATGCAATCCGTCAAGCAGATATGCCATAAGCTCTTGAGAGTCTTGCTGAGAATATCCTCCGAACCTTGGCGCATATTGACCGATGGTCGTCTGCAATCATATAAAAGTTGCTATAGAAGAATTTCTCATCACCTTCAGCTTTCTTGGTTGAACACTGTTATAAGAGCCTGACCACATCATTTTCATCAGATCTCCATATGCTTTTGCTAGTTCGCCTTTTGTTCCCAACGGATTAACGGCATTGATATCAGAGTTATATCGATCAGACACGAAATATTCTGTTAATGCCGGTACATTCGATAAGCACTAAAAAAATGAGTAATCTTCATTCTCCTTCTTGGGATAAAAACCTGTATAGCTGATGCCATGAAGCAAGTGTTGCCCAAGTTATGCAATCCACACACCCCAGGAGTATGGTTTGGACCTCTCTCTTGTACGTATGGCGGTATTCCATAGCTTCTGAAACATTTTTGTAAACCAGATTCAGTATCAACGTTTCTGTTTTCAGTATCTCTTAAATTCTCTCAGTGCATATCTTTTTTTCTCAAGGTTTTAAAGATCCGTGGGTGGTCCCACCCCGAAATCAGAAAAAATGTAAATGACCACCCACGGACCTTTCTGGGCTAGACGGTAGTACGAAAGATAAAGCGGTAGAGAGAAACCATCGCCAATTTGTTAGCAAACGCAGAACTCGTGTTAGATGAAACCAGAACCTGAACAACCTGGGCTTTAGCCTTCCTTCTGTTCTCTTATGAGCTGAAAAAATAAGGAAGAGAGCTTACCCTGATAGATGTCGGTTCCCAAAAGTGGTGATACTCTTATTTTGCATGATGAACCATGAGTCATCTTCCTTTATGTCGACAACAACCTTAAGAAGAAGAATTAATGAGAGAGTGAATGGGAGCAAGAGAGTGAAGAGCAGCAAAAAAGAAAGGATGTTTGAAAAAAAAAGAATAATAAGTCGCAGAAACCATTTTTTGTTCGAAAGCGAAGATGTGAGGACAAGAGATTTGAGAGGGTTCAAAAAAACAAACCTTTTGAGCTGTATCGAAATAAGCATCTACATTTTGTTGTGTTGGCTCTATTAATTCGTATACATTATCTTGTTCTATGTAAAATCGGATATTTGATTCAGGTACATCCCGAACTCTTAACTCATTGAGTACACGTCCTTTCAAAGTTTCTGAATATTCGAAGTTTTTATGTTCTCTTTGAAATCATTTACCCATATTATCATCTATAGCTATTATCAAAGTATGTATTTTCAAGGAATCTCTGGCGAGAGACACCTAAAGCGCTTTTTTTTATCAACAAAACAGTTTTGTTAATAGGCGCCTACCGTAAGAACTCGTGGATAAACTTCGATGACACGACTGCCAGTCTTCTCCACTACTTCTCTCTGAATATAATCTCGATTCTCATTTACAAGACCATAAATTTCGCGAAGTCTGTTGAAAATTTTTTCAGGCAACAACTGAAAATCGGCCGCCTCGACCAAGTTTGATTTTAAGAAGAAGCCTTGCTGCGCTGAAAAGTAGCGATTCAGCAACTTCCTGATCACTTGTTTGCTAATGAACTCACTAGAGTTTGATATGCTCGTACAATCGATTGCTGGAATATCATCGAGTGACCTTTCTTGTGCTGCTTTCAACAATTTTGACCACCAATGAGAGGGAATAACAAACCTGAAGTCGTTCTCTTTAAAAACTGAAAAGATCACATGATACTATACCATTTTTCTCCCAATGAAATGGGATGTTCTTGTGTTTCATCTATTATACGTTTAAGTTCATCAGGCGTTATAGGCTTTCCACGTTTGGTGACAACTCCATCCATAGGACTATGTTCATCAGCATCCGTTAACGTCATATAAATCCTGTGTACGAGCTAACAAAACCTTAAGCATGACGTGAAAACAAGTGTAAAAAACGGAAAAGGTGTAACTTTGTTCATTATAAGGCACGATTAAGAAAGAAAATTTAAAAATAGGAGAAGCGTCAAGTTGACAAGAAAACGACCGCTTTCACAAATAGAAGAGAGGTGAAATAAGTTTTGTAATCATGATAGTCTTACGTCACACAATCAACAACTTTTTATAAAAAAAAAAAGGGTTTAAAATAATTTTTTTTCAAATTCTTTCCTTATTAAATTCCCCATTTTCAGTAGGCATTGTGGTTAGTATAGAAAATAAGAGAACAACCGTTGGAAGAGCCAAGTCTGATGGCTCAAAATCCCTATAAATAGCGCACTCAATTTACAAGACTCAACCCTGCGGCAAACGGCCTCATTCGCGGCCCACTACAATAGGCGGGGCGAGCCTTTGTTTTTTCCTGTGATACCCTTGGCAGCGTACTCAGCAAATCTTAATTTATTATTGTTTTATCTTTTTTTGTTAATTTTGCATAATTCGCTATAATTTAAGTGCTGCTACAAAGCATTTAAAAATTGTAAAAAGACGTTGTTTAAGGAACAGCTGGTCCACTGCTGGTTGCCATGAGCACTTGGAGGGGCGAAGACCAATCCCCGATCGGTGTTGTTCCTTCCTTACCACAAACCTCTATGGCTCATTCATTATCTGCGGAAATAGCTTCACCCGTAACATCACCAAAGGCGACATCTTCCGAAGGGTTAGTCTGATTTTATCTTTCTTTTTTTCCTTTTGTTGCTGCACAGGTTGGGCTGTTTTTATTTCTCCGTTTTCCATTTGACGTTTGTGCTTATTACCCTTTTTTAGATTAAGTGATAAATTGGTATTTATTCATTTACCATTCGAACAATATTCTCGGCTACCTGTGCGGCCAGGAGAATCTGCACGAGACGCGATTTCTAAATTATTAAGAAAACGGGATATCACACCCCAGTTATGTCATGTAAATGTGTCTGCAGATCCTCGGAGCGAACAGATTGATCTTCAGGTTTGTGTTGAGCTCTTTAACACATTCTAAGGATTATTGTTCTTAGGAAGATTTGGAGAAAATTGTTTCTCGTCTAGACAAAAATGAATTATGGGTTCATAGTGAGTATTTGAACACTGTTAAATCTATAGAACATCAAATGGTACGTAAAACTTTTATACCTCCAGTTACATGTGATAAATGCAAAGGCCCAATCTGGTTTGTTGTAAGTTTGCTTAAGTCACTTCATTTTAATTTGTTCTGCTTTCTCCAACTCACAGGGGTTTCGTTGCGAATTTTGTCAAGTTAAATTTCATCAAAGATGTTCATCTTTCGCTCCATTATATTGTGATCTTATTCAAAATGTTCCCAGAGATGAAGTGGTCAGTCTTTTTTTTATTTTTAGCTTCTTAAGTTGGGCTTTTTACAGTTAGCTCAAAGGTTAATGAAATTCGCTTCGGAAATGGGAGGTAGTAATGGGGAAATGGCAGAAAGTGTTTTATCTCGGCTACAGCCAAATTCAAGTCCAGTTCACACCCCTGATAGTAGTCAACCCGATCTCCTTTTAAAAAGGTTTGTGTAACAACTGCAATATCTCTGTAATATTTATAACAAAATAAATATTCCAGAGGGCAATGTATAAAGCGTCACCAAGGTCATCATGCACCAGCGAAGGATGTAGGTGGACCTCTAGGTCCTGCTGGACCTTATTCCCGGGACAGGTTTCTTTATTTTCTACTTTATTCGACTAATGTTAATTTTCATATAGATCTTCGTCTGTACCAAATATTAACTCCATTAAAGATGAAGCTGTTCTCGAACACAACGTGAGTTTCTAGCTTATTTTCCACTGATAATAATGCATATTTAGCAACGAGTTTTGGATGCCCTCGAAGCTCAACGACAAGGTGACTTTCTGCGTTTTATTTTTTCTTTATCTGTTCCGAATGCTAATTTACTTACCATTGTCCGTTATTCAGCCGATGAGCCCATCCACTCAGGTAAAATAAAGGGACGATCAGCTTTTAACAGTGGTCAATTAATCAATGGCCGTCGACTTACTAACCGTTTGTGTCCTCTGCCTGATATTTCTCCATTTGGGTCTCAGTCTGTCTCAAGTATGTTCATGTCTTTTTGGTCGTGTTTTCAACGTTCTCTGTTTTGTGTTTTTTTTTCCATCTCAAAGATTTAATCTAATCTATCTATATAGGTACATGTTCATCACCACCTAACCATCCACAAAGTGCAGCACAGCTACTACCGCCTGCCCTACCACTTACACCACCCCAAAGTGCTCCCCCTCAAAAGGTATTGAGTCATGGATTTTTTTGGAAAATCATGACTGTTATATTAGATATCTCCTGGATTCTTCCGAGGACGAAGTCGATCACCTGGTGAGCGATTAGAACCTCAAAGAACACGCGTTTTAACAGGACAGTCCGACGTTGAGGAATGGGAGGTACAGCTGATAAATGTTTTTCATTTTGTATTGTTTCCATATTTCTCAGATTGATCCGCGTTCTGTTACACAAATATGCAAAGTAGGATCAGGTTCCTTCGGAACTGTATTTAAAGGGACTTATTTCGGAGCAGCTGCTATTAAGCAATTGAATGTTGGAGAGCCAACAGTACAGCAGTTACAAGCCTTCAAAAATGAGGTGAGCATTCTGGTCTTTTTGAATTACAATGAAAAGCTAATTGAAGGTGGCATTGTTGAGAAAAACGCGACATCAAAACGTTTTACTTTTTATGGGCTTTGTAAAACCGCCCAACCTAGCTATAGTAACACAGTGGTGTGAAGGAAGCAGTTTGTACAAACACATACATGTGATTGGTGAGTGGAACCCTCTATGGTATAACCGTACCATTTCCTTTTAGAACCGCGAGTAGAGTTCAAAATGTCTGTGATTGTTGATATCTTGAAACAGATAACTCTCGGAATGGATTATTTACATTCGAAAAACATAATTCATAGGTATCATGACACTCATAACTTACCAAGAAACTTGTTGTTTACAGAGATTTGAAAACAAATAATATTTTCCTAATGGACGATATGAGCACTGTAAAAATCGGCGACTTCGGTTTGGCTACCGTTAAAACAAGATGGAATGGGGGCCAACAGAATCAGCAACCTACGGGTAGTATTCTGTGGATGGTAGCTGATCACGTTCTGTAGCTCCATTATTTTTGATTGTTATAGGCTCCTGAAGTCATACGCATGCAGGATCCTAATCCTTATACAACTCTCTCCGATGTTTACGCTTTTGGAATTGTCATGTACGAGATGCTTTCTGGCTCATTACCGTATTCAGACATAAATAATCGTGATAGAATTTTGTTCTGTGTAAGTTGTTAAGTGGACCATTCTGAGTATCTTCATCTATTGAAGGTTGGACGTGGTTACTTGGTCCCTAATATCGAACTATGTCGTAAAGATACGCCCAAACTGTTGCTAGCTCTGTATCAAGGATGCATTAAATTTAACAGAGATGAGCGTCCAGAGTTCCGAGAGGTATGGGTAAAGTAAAATTAAGGATGTTGATATTTTTCTTAGATTCTGGACCGTCTTCAAAGCATCCCTCTGCCTAAATTGGAACGATCTCGATCGGAGCCGTGCCTACATCATGGCCCATCAGGAGATGACATTGGTTCAGCCAGAGGAAATCATAACTTATGGGAATATATAACGGAGTAAAACTCTCCAAAGTTTCTGATGCATCTTTCTATATATATCCGTCGCTCTATTTATCTCGGATCATAATTGATTTGATTAATTAGTGTTTACCTTAAGAGTCAGTGTTCCGGATTGTACTGTGCCTGAGAGCCCCTTTTGTCATCCGAACCCATCCTTTCTTCTAGTACATTTTTTGCTAGTGCCTTTCATAAGACTGTGTTTGTGTGTATGTGTGTGTGTCTGCGTCTGCTTGCGTGTGTATGTGAGTGTGTGGACGTCTGTATGTGTGTGTGCGTGTGTGTATGGTACATTAACGATTCATAATTTTTCATATCAAGATTGATAATCTTAGGAGGTTTTGTTTCCTTTTTTTCTTGTTTTTTCTTGTCTCGTCTCTTGTTAATAATTTGTGTACATGATCCGGTTATCGCTTTTTTGCTTCATTTTGTAAATTTCATTAATTTTCTTAAGCCTTCGGTGTATCATATATGTATAATGTTTTGTTTGTGGTCATCAGATTCATTTTGAGTCTGTACATCATTCCTTCCGCCGGGTAAATATTCTAATATATGATAAGCGTTTACATAAGTTTTAGATGGTAAAAGTTTTTTACTGACTCGTGTACTTTATTTCATTTTTATCTATTTCCATCAATCTAGATCTTATAACAAATTCATAGAAAATGAAAGAAACGCCTGAGGATATTTTCCTCAGAATTCAACAAGCCGTACGTTCTGATAGAGAACATGATATCGAGTATATTCAGGAGATTTTAAAGGTTTTCTTACCTCTATCTATGGATTACTTAATGTAAATTTTTTTCCAGCTAATTCAACAGCTTCTCCTCCTCGATTTTGAGTTTGCTCTTCTGAACAAAGTCGAAGTTCTGATTTGGAACGTCATGCGCGAAACTATTGAGCCTGTACGACTCGCGAAATCCAAAGTTAGTTCTACCGTTTATCAAAAACTGATATAAGTCATGTTCATGGATACTTTGGTTATATTCTAGGGCCTGCAAAATGTTCTCAATATGTGCGTGGCTTTTCTATCTGATCTTTGCATTTTATTACAAGCTGAATACGGGGTTATCTTCGAATTCGTTCCTAGTTTTATCAGCCTTTCTTCTGCCATAACCCATAAATCCAGAAATAATCAGATCAGAGAACCCACTATTAGAACGTTTTGTCATTTTGTTTCTCTTCGACTAGGTGATATTTTCCGATACAAGGTAAGACTGACAGTAGTTATCCTGATCAACGGTCTACCAGGATGAGTTGGTGTTAGCAGAGAATTGTTATAAAACTGCCATTCGAGCAGACCCTTCAAACGGATCTGTTTGGAACCAAATGAGCTTAATAGCTCAATACAAGTTTGACATGGTTTTTTTTACTTTGATACTATGCAGTGTTTAGTGCTAAGTTTGCGGATAAATTATACTACAGTGCTCGAGCAGTTCATACAGAAAGATCATTTGAATCAGCAACTACAAACACAGCTTCACTGTTGAAAAAATTTGCTGAAGGTGCGTTATAAGAGACGTCAAGTCGAAGAAGACTATTAGTTTCAGACGATAGCTGTAACGAAGCGTCTCCATTTCACATTCAGTATGTGCATTTGCTTTCAAAGTTGCATTTCGTGAGTTGGAATCTTTTCATTCTTTTCTTTAAAAAGAGATTAAATTTAAATTTATTCAAAATTACTGGCGTAAACAACGAATGCAGCCGCTCAGCGTCTTTGGAAAATTGAAAATGAGTTTGTATCAAATCATGGCGTACTTTTCACGTGAGCGTCTGTTTTGCCTCGAACATTAATTTTGTGTCTTAAAAATTGTCAGAGGTTTTTTTTGATTTATTACCACCATTTGTATGACCTGTCACGAGGCTTTGTAAACAACAAGCTATCAAGTTTCTATTGAAAAATTTAGTATTAGCTTGAATCAGCACACGTTTTTGCTTTTCTGCCACAACTTTCCACTTCAATAGCTTTTCCCCTATCTCTTTCTACCTCCCCCCCTCTCTCTCTCTCTCTCTCTCTCTCTCTCTCTCTCTCTCTCTCTCACACTCTTCTTCCCCTTTTTTTCTGTTTTTGTATATTTTTTCACTATAAAAACAAAAAAGAGAGAGAGAAAAAGATTGTGTGAGAGAGAGAGAGAGAGAGAGAGAGAGAGAGAGAGAGAGAGAGAGAG